CGCACACTTCCCAATTTTTTGGGCTTCCTCCGCACACTTCCCGAATTTTTGGGATTCCTCCGCACACTTCCCGAATTTTTGGGATTCCTCCGCGCATTTCCCGATTTTTTGGGATTCCTCCGCGCAATTCCCGAATTTTTGGGATTCCTCCGCACACTTCCCAATTTTTTGGGCTTCCTCCGCGCATTTCCCAATTTTTTGGGCTTCCTCCGCACACTTCCCGAATTTTTGGGATTCCTCCGCGCACTTCCCGATTTTTTGGGGTTCTTCCGCACACTTCCCAAATTTTTGGGATTCTCGCAGCCATTTCCCGCTTTTTTGGGATTCCTCCTCCGCACGCTTCCCAATTTTTTGGGCTTCCTCCGCACATTTCCGTATTTTTTGGGATTCCCCCGCGCACTTCCCGATTTTTTTCCCTTCCTCGTGCATCCTCCGGTGCTTGGCCAACGCCGACGGATCCGAGAAGGATTTCCCGCAGTCTCCGCAGCTTTTCCGGGATCCGGCTCCGTGCGCCCTCAGATGCTTCTGGAAGTGGAGGGTGGAATTAAAACTCTTCCCGCACTCCCCGCAGACGTGGGGCCGACCCCCGGCGTGCGTCCGCTGGTGCCGGTAGAGGTGGGAAGTTCTCCCGAAGCTCTTCCCGCATTCCGGGCACTCGTAGGGTTTCTCCCCGGTGTGGATCCGCTGGTGCCGCTCCCAGTGGGAACTCCAGGAAAAGCTCTTCCCGCAATCCCCGCACCGATACGGCTTCTCCTCGCCGGCGCCTCCGTGGAAACTCCGCCGGTGCCGGGCGTACTGGGATCGCGCTCCGAAGCCTTTCCCGCATTCCTCGCAGCGGAAAGGGCCTTCCCCGAGGTGAATCCCTTGGTGTTTCACCAAAGCCGGAGCGTCTCCGAAGCTTTTCCGGCACAGGGAACATTTGTAGGGTCTCATCCCGGTGTGAGTCCCTTGGTGCCGCTCGAAATGCAGGATGCTGCCGAAACTCCTCCCGCAGTAGGTGCAGATGTACGAGCGACCCCCGGCGTGGCCGCGTTGGTGCCGGTAGAGATGGGAACTCCTGGAAAAGCTCTTCCCGCATTCCGGGCACTCGTAGGGTTTCTCTCCGGTGTGGATCCGCCGGTGCCGGAGCCAGTGGGAACTCCAGGAAAAGCTTTTCCCGCAATCGCCGCATCGGAAGGGCAAATCGCCGGTGTGGAGCCGCCGGTGGGTCGCCAGCTCTTTATTCCGCCGGAAACTCTTCCCGCACTCCTGACACTTGTAAGGAAAACCGCGGGGCTTTTCCGGAGCCGGATCGGCGCCGCCGTGGCCGCGTTGATGCCGGTAAAGGTTGGAGGAGACGTTGAAGCTTTTCCCGCAGTGGAAACACCGGAACGGTTTCTCCCCCGTGTGCGTCCGGCGGTGCTTGGAGAAATGGGAGCTGCAGCTGAAGCTTTTCCCGCACTCCGAGCACTCGTAGCTCTTCTGGAGCACGATGATGCTCTTGAAATTGGAAAAACTTTGGGATTTCGGGCTCCTCTTCCCGCTTTTCCCCGACGTCCCGGGGTCGATTTGTTGCACCACGGTCCAACGCAAAGTTTCCCGCTCCGACAGGTCGGGGTTGGGGAAGAGGCTGCCGGGATCTAATTCCACGATTTCGGGATCGTCCGGAAGGGGAAGGTTCGAGTCTGGGGTTCCTGGGATTTGGGGATGGGCGGGGCGGGGGGGGGGGGGGAAAAAAAAAAAAGGGAATTCCGTGGGGTTTTCCCGGGATTTTTTTTGTGGAATTTTCCAATTTTTTTTTGGTGGATTTTTCCACTTTTTTTTGGTGGAATTTTCCACTTTTTTTGGGTTTTTTTTTTTTTTTTCGGTGGGGTTTTCCGTATTTCCCAGGGGATTTTTTCCCCACTTCCAGTGAGTTTTCCCATTTTTTATGGAATTTTCCCCATTTCCCATGGGATTTTCCCATTTTTAATGGGATTTTCCCCATTTCCCCTGGGATTTTCCCCCATTTCCCATGGGATTTCCCATTTCCCATGGGATTTTCCCCCTTTCCCACGGAGTTTTCCCATTTTTATAGGATTTCCCCCACTTCCCATGGGATTTTCCCATTTTTTATGGGATTTTCCCCATTTCCCATGGGATTTCCCATTTTTTGTGGGATTTTCCCCATTTCCCATGGGGATTTCCTGTTTTTTATGGGATTTCCCCATTTCCCGCAGAGTTTTCCCATTTTTTATGGAATTTTCCCCCTTTCCCATGGGATTTTCCCATTTTTTACAGGATTTCCCCCATTTCCCGTGGGGATTTCCCATTTTTCATGGAATTCTCCCCCTTTCCCACAGGGTTTTCCCATTTCCCCTGGGATTTCCCCCATTTCCCATGGGAATTTCCTATTTTTTGTGGGGTTTTCCCCATTTCCCATGGGATTTTCCCGTTTTTTACGTGAATTTCCCCATTTCCCATGGAATTTTCCCCATTTCCCATGGGATTCCAGCAGGGGTGGGAATGAAGGGATCCATCCCATGGGATCCATCCCAATTTTCCCCCCCTCAATCCCCGTCCCCTTCCCCCCCCCCCCAAAAAAAAATCCCATTCCCACAGAATTCCCGGTGGGAACGGGGTCTCCATCCCATCAATTCCCCATGAATGGGATCGATCCCGGTTTTCCCCATGGGAATGGGATTTTTGGGATGGGGAATGAGGGGGGAAAAATCGGGATCAATCCATAAATGGGGAAATATTGGGATTCCCACGGGATTTCAAAGCCAATTTCAGTCGGGATCGAGGATTTATGGGATTTATGGGGTTTATGGGGTTTTCCCGCTTTTCCCAAGGATCCTTCCCGAACTTACCCTGGATCCCGTTGGGATCGTAGGGATCTTCCTCCCCCTCATCCCCGAAAATCACCTCCGGCTCCGGCTCCTCCTCCTCTTCCTCCTCCTCCTCCCACGGATCCATCGCCCGCTCCGGGATCCTGGAAAATCCCCCCAAAAAAAAAATGTTTAAAAAAAAATTCCAGCCTCTCCTCAAAAAAAATTCCGGCCCCCGAAAAAATTCCGGCCCCGAAAAAATTCCAGGGATTAAAGGACCCCCATCCCCAATTCCCTTCCCATTTTCCCAGGAATTAAAACCCCCCTAATTCCCATTTTTCCCAGGAATTACGACCCCCCCAAATCCCCATTTTCCCAGGAATTAAAAACCCCAAAATTCCCATTTTCCCAGGAATTAAAACCCCAAAAATCCCCATTTTTCCAGCAACCAAACCCCCCAAAAATTCCCATTTTCCCAGGAATTATCAACCCCCAAAATCCCCATTTTTCCACCAATTAAACCCCCCCAAAAAACCAAATTTTCCCAGGAATTA